CAGCTGCAGCTGCAGCTGGAGCTGCAGCTGGAGGAGAGACACCTTCCACCAGTGCTGAACCTGTTGAAGACGTACAACCCACATCGAGCAAATCTCAGGAATCTACCATGGAGCTTTCAGTTCGACCATCAGTTATTCAAAAATTGGAGAAGGGACAACAGCAGCCCTTGGAGTTTGTTCCTAAGACTGGGAGCGGTATGAAAAAATCTAATCCAGTAGATATTGGTCAAGCTACAAATAATGGAAAAAATTTAATGCGCCCCCCAGTGATTTATAGTGCTCCAGCTAGTTGTTTATCTGAAAGTTCTTATGATAGATCAGTTATAACTAATGCTACTAAGTTACTGCTAGGAGCCCATTTGGATTCAGTTAGCAAATGTGACCCAAACAAAGTTGATAGACACTTTGAACAGCTAGACAGGGTCTCTAGAAATCCTGTGCCATCATCTTATCTAGAAACTTCTTCAGTTTCATATCAGAAGCCTAAAGAGTCAAATGGGAAAGTATGTAAATCGAATAGGAAAGGTATAAAATCTCAGGGTAAACCTTTGTCAAGTGACTTTACATTTCATGAACTTAGGGGAACTGAGGGCTCCTTTGGTGTTGAGTCTCCTTCTGAATCTGCAGTAAACTCAGTAGTTAAACTGAATAAAACCAACCTATGTCCTAATAAAGTGATTTTTAAAGATGTCATTCCAAAGCACCAAGAGGAATCCTTTTCTGATGTGGATTATACCCAAGAAGAAAATAATTTGGTTTTTAACAAGTCAGCCTTTTTGAAGCAGAAGTGCTCAGTGAATTCTGAAATGAGGTTTGATTATGGCTCTTATCAGTCAGCATTGAATCTACCCCAAGAGTCTGTACAAGACTTAAGCCCTTGGAAAGAGGAGCAAATTGACCAAGAAAATAAGAACTATGGATCTAGAGGTTCTCAAATGATTTTTGATCCTAGTTCCTCTTTTCTGTCACTGATTGACCAATCTACAGTGACTACCAAAGAAAGTAACTTTTCAGCGGAAGTATGTGCTGATTTGCAGTTTAAGAATAACAAATCTTGTACTTCTGAAATAAGTTCTGATTATGATGACTCTCTTCAGTTGGGTACTAACCAATCTCAAGTGATTGTTAAAGAAACAGGTCTACGGAATGCAATGCGTATTAGCCTGGTTGACCAAAGCTATGAATCTAGTAGTTCTGAAATGAATTTTGATTGTGATGACTCACTTCAATCAACTAGTGACTATCTCCAACAGCCTGCAAAAGAAGTAAATTTTCACAGGGAAGTGCACATTGATTTGGTTGATAAGAACTATGGATCTAGTAGCTCTGAAGTAAGTGCTGAATCTGTTTTCCCACTTCAGTCAGTGATTGACCAGTTTCCAGTGACTGTCCCAGAAACAAAACTTCAGAATAAGGTTCACATTGTCTTCAATGATAAGAACTGTGGCTCCAACTGTTCTGAAACAAGTTCTGATTGTGATGTTTCTCTTCAGTCAGTAGTTGACCGTCCCCAACTGACTGTCACGGAAAGAAACCAGAAAGAAGGATGTGTCCACCTGAAAGATAACCATAAATTCCTTAGTACAGATCTTGATTCTGAAGTCTCTCTTGAGACAATGGCTGAAGAACCCGTGAGGGCAGTTGAAATAAATCTCATGAGGGAGAAGAATGGTGACCTTGATATGAACTGTGAATCTCATGCTCCTGAAATGGGCTTTCATGCTGATGGTCAATTAGTGGCTGGCCAATCTCAAGAAGGAATTAAAGAAGTAAACTCTCAGAAAGAAGATACTGACCTGGAGAGTAAGAGTGTTCAGTCTATCATTTCTAATTTAAGTTTTGATTCTCATGCTTCTCTTTATCCATCAGCTAATGATCAACTACAAGGGGCTTTGGATGAAGCAAATCTTAATGCATTAAATGTTGACATGGAAGTTAACAGCTATGAGTATTCCAGTTCTGAGTTAACTTTTGATTCTGATCCTGTTGCATCAGTCATTCAGCTGAATGTGGAAAGAATGAAAGAACACAACCTGGAAGAGAGCTGTGAATCAAGTGGTTCTGAAATAACTTTTGACTCTGATATTCTTGCTTGCTCAGCTATTGATCTGGAAAATAAAAGTAATGAATCTTGTGTTTCTGAAATCACTTTTGATTCTGATATTACTCTTCATTCAGAAAGTGATCAGCCTGAATTAGTTGTTAACGAAATAAGCATTCAGAAAGAAAAGTACATACACTTAGAAAGAAAGAATGATGAATCCACTGGTTCTAAAGTAAATTTAGACTCTTTTGCCCCTCTTCATTCAGTGACAAAGCTTCCTGACGTAGCTGTTAAAAAGCTCCATCCTCAAAAAGAAGAGCAAGTGTACTTGGAAAACAAGGAAAAACAACCCGGAGACCCCGAAGTAAGTTTGAATTATGATATCATTTTCCAATCAGTGACTGAATATTCTGAAGTCCCTGTTAAAGAAACAAACCTTCAAAAAGAAAAGCACCTACACTTAGAAAATAAGGGTAATAAATTAAGTGCTTCTGAAACAAGTTTGCATTCTGATATCCCGCTCCAAGAGTCAGTGACTAAGAAACCTAAAGTAGTCATTGATGAAAGACAGCTCCAAAAAGAAAAACATACTGAATTCCAAAGTAAAAGAACTGAATTTAGTGATTCTGAAATAAATTTAAGTCCTGCTGTTCCTCACTATTCAGTGACTAATCCTCAAGTAGCTGTTAAAAAAACAAATAGAAAGAAGAAACGTATTCAGAAAAACAAGACAGAAAAGGTGTCTGATGTCCTTCCTCAGTCAATGACTGAACAGCCTCAAGTAGCTGTTTTAAAGGAGGACCATGTTGACCCAGAAAGTGAAATAAATTTGTATATTGATAGCACTCTTCATTCAGTTACTGACCAACCCCTATTATGCCCTGTGAAGGAAGAATATGTTGATCTGGAAGACAAGAACAGTGAAACTAGAGATTCTGAAATGAGATTTGATTCTGATGGTGCTCTTCAGTCACTGCCTGGACAACTTCAGAAAACGGTTAAAAAGACAAACTTGTGGGAGGAAAAGGGTATTGACTTGGAAGGTAAGATCGAAGAACCTAATGGTTCTAAATTAGTACACGATGGTGATATTTCTCTTCATCTTGTGGCCAATCTATCCAAAGTAGCTATGAAACAAATAAACTTTGAAAATGAAGATAATATGTCCTTGGAAATTAAGAACAGCCAGTATAGTTGTCCTGAAATGAGTCTGAATTCTGATTTCTTGGCTCAGTCAATAGCTGATCGACCTCAGATAACTATTTTAGAGCATGAACATATGGAACAAGAAGGTAAGGACAGTGAATCTTATGGTTCTGAAATAAGTTTTGATTCTGATGACCCTCTTCAGTCAGTGGCTGACCAACTTAGAGAAACTGTTAAAGAAATAAGCCTTTGGAAGGATGAAGACGTTTATATGGAAGATAAGAGGGATGAAGCTCAGGGTTTTGAAATTTTATATGATTCTGATGTCCTCCTTGAATCAGAGGCTAGCCAAACTGAAGAAGTAGATAAGGAGACCAGCCTTTGGAAAGAGCATGTTGTTTTGGAAGATAATATTGGTGAACACAGTGATTCTAAAATCAATTTTAATTCTCAAGGACCTCATCAGTGTGTGACTAATAAAATTCAAGAGGCTAAGGAACATGTTTGTCTGGATGATAAAGGCTATGAGCACAAGGACCCTAAGATAATTTATGTTTCGGATCTCCCTATTCAGTCAGTGATTGAGCAACCACAAATTTTGGAAGAGGAGCGTGCCAGTTTGGGAGATAAGAGCAGTGATCCTTGTAGTCCTGAAATAAGTTTTGATTCCAAAGGTTTTTTTCAGTCAGCAGGTGAGCAGTTTCAACAGTCTGTCAAAGAAATAAATCTTTGGAAGGAAGACCACATTTACCTGGAAGATAAAAGTTATAAACTAGGTGATTTTGAAGTAAGTTATGACTCTGATGTTGCTGTTCAGTTCATGCCTAATCAACCTGCTGTGTCTGTCAAAGAAATAAATTTGCATGAGAGGAATCATGATGACCTAGGAAATAAGAACTATAAGTCCTGTGGTTCTAAAACAAAATGTGTCTCTGGTATTCATCTTCGGTCAGAAGTTGACCAATCTCAAGTGGCTTACAAAGAAACAAAGCTTCAGAAAGAAGAGCCTCTTAACATGGAAGAAAAGACCAATGAATCTAGTGACTCTGAAATGGTATGTGATTCTCATGTCCCTTTTCAAATAGTAGTTAACCAATTTCAAATGCCAGTCAAAGAAATAAATCTGCCAAAGATGGTACTTGTCGATCCAATGACCAGTGATAGTGACTGTGAAGTAATTTCAGATTCTGATCTCCCTCTTCAGTTAGTGACTGACCCATCTCAAATAACTGTCAAAGACATCAACTGTTTAAATGCTGAAGGTATTGATGTAGAGGAAAAGAGTTATGACTCTTGTGGTTCTGAAGTAAGATATGTTTTTGAAGCCCCTCTTCAGTCAGTGACAAACCAACTTAAAGAGACTTTCAAAATAATAAACCGGAAGAAAGACTATATTATTCTGGGAGATTCAAGTTGTCAGTCTTGTGGCCCTGAGATAAATTTTAATGTTGATGCCTCTAATCAGACCATGACTTACCAGTCACAAGAACCTGTTGAAGAAATGGTGAAATATATTAGCTCAGAAGATAAGAGCTGTGAATCTAATAATTTTGAAGGAAATTTTAATTTGGAAGGCCCTTCTCAATCAGTGACACTTCAACTTCCAGAAGCCAACAACAAAGTTGACCTTAGGAATGATCTAAAAAATGTTGGCCTAAAGGATAAGAGCTGTGAATCTAATGTTTCTGCAGTGGGTTGTGATCCTTCATCCGAGTCAGTGACTGATAAAGAACAGCTTTTCATGTTAAACCATACAGCTCTAGAAGGTAGGATCTGTGAACCTTGTGTTTCTCATATGAATACTCACTATGATCTCTCTCTGCATTCTGGCATTCATCAGCCTCAAGGAACTGTTACTAAAATGGACTCAGTTAAGAAGGTATCTTTTAACCTGGAAAAAAAGAACCATGATTTCCAATCCAGTTCTGTTCCCATTCTTGATTCTGTAAGGAACCTGGAAAAAGCAAAGGAGGTCATAGAAGATAACCCTGATGAACCAGTTCTAGAAGCCTTGCCTAATGTTCCTCCTTCATTTGTAGGCAAAACGTGGTCTCAAATCATGATTGAAGATGACATGAAAATTAATGCACTTGTGAAGGAATTTAGAGAAGGTCGTTTCCACTGTTACTTTGATGATGACCGTGAGACTGGAGACATTTCTTTGAATGAGGAAAAAAAGAATACCTGGGCTGACCGTAACTGGGACATTGCATCAATTCAAGCTGTGTCAGATCATGGTGATATTGCTGGCGGTATTTCAGATACTGATAACTTTTCAGTAGCCTTGAATCATCCACCACTTCATCCTCCAGCAGAAAGGTTTCCTAAACAAAAGTGGCATGTGTCTTCATGTGAGGTCGCAAAAGTCAGCCATGGAGCTCATACCAAGTTTATTAATTTCTCAGTGATGAAAAGAAGAATGGTTAGCCAAGAGGAAGGATCACCAAAAAGGAAGCATTTACGTTTACAGAGCAACAGGAAAACAAAAAAAGTAAAAAGTGGGACAGTCGAATTTCCTGTATCATGTACTAAAATGTTGAGGACTGTGCAACCCAAAGACTTATTCCGTGTTCTTTCTTCTCTAAATATTAAACTGAAGGATGGTGAATCCTTCCATTTTTCTAAAATGAAGCCCCGTAGTGGGGGTAATAATACACATAGGCTTATATACAAATGTAAAAAGAATGCCTTTAATAATTATCACCCATTGATTAAGCAAATTGTAATTAAACCTCCACTGAATGTAATTGTCCCAGAGTCTGTCAGGCGTAACCGGGTTAGAATCCGTCTTAACAAGAGCATCCAAAATTCCAGTGAAGGAGATGATGCTGCTAATGGACAGAGCTCTGCTTCAGCACCTTTCAGGACAGTGCCAGCAAGATACAGATTCAATTCGTTTTACGGGACTGGTGGATCTGCTGTGCATCCAGAAAAACCAGCAGTTCTAAGTGTTAGTGAGGTGCCAAAGAAAAGTAATTTCCGGCTAACTCTTTTAACTCGTGATGTTGCCAAAATGTCTCCAAAATCTGTTAGAAATAAATTTGTAGAAAGTAAAGGTAAAGAGAAAATTCAGGGGAAGAAGGTGACAACTAATAATAAGCCACGTTTCCCCCAAGAGGTTTATAAACCAGTTATTCTTCGGCAGAAAAACAGAATAGCTTCAGAGGAGTCCATTTGGATTCGGACTAAACCAAATGATATTATTAGAAAGTATATTTCGAAATACTCTGTTTTTTTGCGTCACAGATACCAATCCAGAAGCGCCTTTATTGGAATGCACCGAAAGAAGAAATCAGTTGTCAGTAAGCCAAAGAAGGCGAAAAAGCCAGCTAAAACGCTGCTGCAGTCCTCAGTTCCACCAGCTGGAGCCGAAGAGCAGTTAAAAGCTGTAGCAAGTCCTCCTCCAAAACAACCTGAGCGGCCTTCTTCCAGCGATGCCGGAAGGAAGAAGAATGGTAATACAAAGTGCCCTAGCAAAAAGAAAAAGCCCATTAGACCTGTTAGAGAATATGCTTTGAGAAGTTTATCTTATATACCACATTCTGATCGAATAATGACTCGACTAGCGAACAAATTGAGGAGCAGTAGTGAGGCAAAATAAAAGAAGTTTTTGTGTTAAGGCTAATTGAGAGTTCGGTACTTTGATTGAATTATATTTGTTACTTAGTGCACATAGCTTTCCCAACTTTGATGGAGAAACTAATCTTGAACTATTTTGCTATAGATGTTATTTTTCAGAACTTTTATATTCATTTAAATTTACTGTGTAGGCTTCTTTTTTTTAGAAAGATCCATAAGCAGCCTTTTGTCCAACATTTTCTATAAAAGAGATTCATCATAATTTTATGTCATAATGTGATTTAGCACAGTACATAGAATTTTGTTTCTCAAATCATGCTCCTCTTATTTCTTATGATTACCTCACTCATGCTGGCAATTATAATTTTCTGAGGATGAATATAGCAAATTTAATGCTATCTTACTACTTTAAAAAAATGGAACTAGAGCATAAATACCTATATGGTATATATTTCAGAGTGGCATTGTCAATGTAGTGTTTTAACTGGATAATTATAAAGGATGAACTATATTAACTTTTGAGTGAGACTGACTTAAATGATCAAAACAAAATACAATTTATCTTTCTTCTGAAACATTTCAGACAATGAGATTCCATAATCTTTAATCCAGTTTTTAAAAACTACCTGACTTCATTTGATTGTGTTTTGTCTTGTTTTGTTTTTTGATGCCACAGGGCATGGGCACTGACCAGAGGGAGATAGGAAGAAAGCATGTTCACACGAACATTTGGGTGTGTTCACACCAGAATTCCTTCTCCTCCAGTGCTCCATCCTGTCAGGATTTTGGGCATGCATGTACACGTGCCTGGCATGTTTTTCAAGCCTCTGGGGCTGGGATTAAACCAAGTCAGCCTTCTGGGATCCAGCTCCCCTAACCACTAGGCTAGGGCTGGCCCTGCCTAGTGATTTTTATATACAGGAAACAAATTCCTCTTCCTTCATTTAAATGAAATCTGCCACTGTTAACTTTCTTCATTTGGACATATGCACACATACAGTCTCTTTTTACAATTTTTTTTTCTTTATTCATGATAGAGTACAGGCATGTGGCTACAGAGAGAAGAGAGACAAGTACCCTCCACAGGGGTTGATCATGTAGTCCTTCACCTCTCTGGATCTTTAGTCACTCACATTGCCTGCCTGGTGTGTTTTAGGCTGACACTAGGGATTCGAATCACAGTCACTGCAGAGGCTTCTGGTCCTTAATGATCAGTGTCTAAAGTGCGAACTAAGGAGCTGCCCATCTGTATGTTTTTCTTTAGCATTATTACATCTTAAGGGAAGATCATTTTGCCAGTATTATTGGGCTTTTTTGTTTTAAAACACCTTTACTTCCCTTTAATGAAGTGTTGGGAGATTTAAAGTGAAAATGCAGGTTATTTTATGGCCTTATTTCTTAAAAATATTTGAGACCTTACCATATCATTTTTAATAGGGTGAACTGAAATTATTAACTTCATAACAATATTTAGGCAGGCTATTAATTGTTAAGGTAATTACAAAGCAAATTAGTAACTTACCTGAATATTTCAAAAAATCAAATAACACTAATAATTTAAGGCCTATTTTGCAAGTGAAAAATTGTATTGGTACTTTAGTTTGTCTTAAATCTGATGACTGATTTTAATAATTCAAATTAAATATGTTAGGACATGGAGTTCGAGTCTGGGGACTCAGAATATATTCAGATCTTTTATTCAGGAGCACTGGTTGAGCTGATACAGATAAATCCAATTATCCTGCTAAGCCAGAATCCTGGATCTTTGTCTGTCATTTATGTCAATGGAAAACATAAATTTCAACTATGTCATTATTACCATATTTTGTTGAAACCAGGGTCACTGGTAAGATGTATCTTGATTTCAGAGATTAAAATGTATTATCTTGGAATTAATGAATTACTGTATAACTGGTTGGTTTCTAAATGTGGTTTTATTTCAGGGGCTATTATTTAACCTGTGGGTATATTATGATGGTATTATGTTGTTATTTCTTTAATTCTAAATTGAAGTAGTAATTATATTGAAAAAAATATTTTAGTTGCAAGCACCCTTTCCTTCAACTTGCCTCCTCATATACAAACATTTTAATTTCCTTAAGGTATCACTTTGGGCTACTAAGTCAAAGTAATCTTCCAATTTGAATTGAGTTAGAAAACCGCTGATCAGGAACTAAAGAAACACCTAAGAATACAAGAATATTCCATTTGTGGGAACTGGTGTTTTTTTTCCCCTATGGAATAGACACATAGTTCCCTTAAGTATATTAATAAAGATTGTACATTATTTCAGAATAAGTTAAAAAGCCAGTGATCGTATGGAAATGATGTACTATGTAAGTATGATACCTGTTGCGATCACATCATAGTAGAGGACAGTTCCTATCATTCCAGTGAGCAAAACTGAAAGTTAAAAAGATATTATTACCCTTTTTACAAAGAAGCTCTTCTAAGTACCATTTTGAGGAGGTGAATGGAAAGGTTTATACTTAAAATTTATGTTACCAAAAATCTGAAAGTATTATACAGTAACGATTTTATTTAACATTTTGAAAATGCTTACTAAGATCTTGTAATCATCATTATTTTAGACAAGCATTAAACTTGAAATTGTATAACTTGTAATTTAAGTTGAATTGGAAATGAATTGCTGTGAGAATTTGGTAGGATTTAAGATATGCCCCTTTGTCTTAATAAATTTTGACTTAATTTGCAGTTTAGATAAAACTGAATTTTTTTGTGTATTCAAGAACGCATTAAATTCTTTTAATAGTAAAAAATCAAATTACAGCTGTAATGAATATGTTACTAATCTTGTTCTTGTTGAGTATCTTGCATAGATTTTTATTGTAATTGTCCTGAGTTATCCAGTATGTGGGCAATATTGTGTAAAATGTGCTATGGAATTTGTGCATTTAAATTATTTATGTAATTAGGGCTCTGAGTAATTTCTTTTTTGGTTAAAGAAAAGCTATATTTAAATATTCAAATAATTATATATTTCCATGTAAAATCAATTTGAAGACTAACAATGTATTTTTTATAATGCAGTTTAAATGCTAACTTGTTTTTGAAGCTATCAAGATGAAATTTATTAAATATTAAAATCTGTCTCTGCTCTATCCTCATGTTAGAAACTTTTTCTGGGCAAACTTAAAGAATCAGAGAATAGGGGCCAGAAGGTGGCATGGTGGTTAAGGTGCTGGACTTTCACATGGCTTACCGTGGTTTGAACCCTGGACCTGGCTGCTTGCTTTCTCACTTTTCCTCTCTTTCTCGCTGTCTCTTTGTAGTCAAGTTAAAAACACAATAATGGGGCGTGGTAATTAAGGTTGCTGGACTACCACATGCCCAACTGCGGTTTGAGTCTCTGACCTGGAGGCTTGCTTTCTCACTTTCCCTCTCTCTCATTCTGTCTCTCTCTCTGTCCCTTTCTGGTCAAATTAAAATAAATAAATAAATAAGTAAATAAAATTCAATAAAATAATTCTTTAAAAAATAATAAATAAAATTAAAACAAATAGTTCAGCACCCACCCTGTGGCAAAAGAAAAAAAAAAATCTTTTAAAGTAACAGAATAATGAAAACAGAAGTAAGTACATTTTATAAGTGGTTTTAGAGATAATAAATAAGAAAATATATAGTTGATGCTGGTAAGAAAGTAGTTTAACCAAAGATATAGGTTATATTGAATGCAGTAGTTATTTCAAAGAATTAAAATTAAGCAACTATTTATGTCTGGTGAAGGGGTGAATTAGCAACTTTTCACTTTTTGTACTTGTATTGAAAGTGTTCACGGGGGCCAGCAGGTGGCATGGTAGTTAAGATGCTGGGCTCTCACATGGCTGACCACAGTTCAAGTCTTGGAACCGGTGGCTTGCTTTCTCACTTTCCTTCTCGCTCTCTGGCGAGCACACATGCCCTATAACAAACCTAAATAATAATAATAATAAGATAATAAATAAAACAAACTAAAAAAAGAAAAGGTTCATGAATAGGATTGAGTTCAGGAGGCAGTATCTATATCACTGTTTGATACCTACTGGAAGGGAGAACTTTGGTGCTTTCACTACTATAGCATATGGTATAAAAGATCAGAAAATGGAACAGAACCTATATGTCAGGGGGGTAGATGCCTTTGACCTCAGTAGTATTGATTTCTAGGATTTGTTGATCCAGATGTCAGGATGAACATGCTTTTTTTTTTAATTTGCCAAGGGGTGCTTTCACGCACCATTGAGACAAAGGGAGAAAGCAGCCTTCAGCAGAGTGTAGTCATGCTACAATCCCTTCTCCATTTCTCCAGCCTAGTGGAATTTTTAGGCATGCACACACATATGCCCAGCTTTCAAGCTCTAGGAGCTGAGAAAAGAGAATACATTCATCATAGATGAGACAATAGCATATTCATACATTTGACAAATATTATTTCTGCCTTTCCTACATGCGATACATTCATCATAGATAAGACAATAGCATATTCATACATCTGACAAATATTATTTCTGCCTTTCCTACATGCCTGGCCCTATGGTGTAAGCATCAACCAAGTGGGCTCTCTACTTGCTCACCCTCATACATTGATATGAATGAAAGGGAATTTCAGTAGTAGTAAGTGGAGGAACATAATCCTTAGGCTTCAGTAGATCATTAATAAAACCGTAACACTCATAGGATACTGCTGTTTGACACTGAAAATTTTTCAACTTTCTGCACTAAGACCCATTGTAAAGTATTACCATTTTTAGGAAGATTGTTTTCCTGTGTTTGTGTTACTATGAATAGTTTCTCCTATGTTGGTTGCTGTCTCCAGGGAAAGTATTACATAGACTCACTCATCCATCTTATTATAGCACAGAATCACTTCCAAGGATAAGTGGGTATATTCATTAGCTGTTTACTTTTAAGTTGAAATTTTGTCAGTTCTTTAGAACTGGAAAAATAGGTTTATTTTTTTTGGAGAGTTATTACTACTGGTTACAGATAACGAAATAAGAGATACTTACCTAATCCACTGAGCTGAAAGTATTTTATTAGGTGATTGATGATCTGAAAATCATGAATTCTGAAGCACCCCTGTAGCCTTGAAAACCAACAGTATTGTAATCATGGCAGCTGTGAAAAGCATTAGCCTTGCAACTACTAAAAGGGCAGACTGTGTATGGAGCTCCTCAAAAAGTCCTTTCTCTGGACATTGACACTATTTGCCTGTCTTGCCACTCCCTAGAAAAGTACCGTTTCACAGAGTTGTGTTTATAGTGAACTCTTGGAGAGTTCACTCTGCTGAAAAGCCCCATCTTTGGGGCATTTGTTGGAAACAATCAGTGGCACTTGTTTCACATCACAGCTGCCTGAGATTGTGATATTATTAGGTGAGGCAAACGAGGTTGGCCAAAACTTAAAAAGAAGTTCTGGAAATAGGGTGTCCACTGGGGTTTTGCAAAACTCTGATAAATTCCTAGGAATGCAAAAAAATTTGCACAAATGTACAACTCTGTCTGTGTGAATGTCCTGGAAAGATCTACGAGGCTCCCAGTCTCTTACCACTGACTGACTAGAGGCCTTGCACAAGCAGGACAGGAAGGTTAAGGCAGGGTTGTAAGTTGCCTGAGTGCTGAGGGCATGTTGGAACAGACATACATACAGTGCTTCTCAGCAAAGAATGGAATATTTATTGGTTCAAGGCATATAAGAGAATCTCTGGCCAATTACTAGCTCATCACTAAGCTAATTAAGCAGAGAAGTCAGTGGCTACACAGTACAGACAGAATTTACAGAATTAAGGAAAGTATATGAACTAACAGTA